GAAAACTGGTTTCTTTCGGCTGGCCAGAGTCGTGACCAACACCCCGAAAAAACAAAAAGAACAAAACAAAAACAAATGTGGATAATACTATCATAATAGTGCAACAGTGCTTCCTCTTACACTTCACACTCACACATCATAACCAAATAGTTGCTTCATCAATATTTTTTCACAGCTGGCTCCAATTCATTTTGAAATCTGAACCAACCACCTTTCTTCTTTTTTCTTTTAACGTCCGGCAGACCTGCTACCGTCTTCCCCCGAACATAACGCACCCTGAAAATGAATGTATACAAGCTATATTTCCGGCCAGATACGGCCAAAATAAGGGTGCGTTGTGTTCGGGGGAAGACGGTAGTGGTGGTGGCAGAAGCTCCCATTGCTAGCAGCTTGCCTGATGGCTCCAATCCAATCTATTGGTCGGGAGCAGCACGTGCTGGAAAGCAAGTCCTGTGTCCCCTTATACAGAGCTTATAAAGCGCATGATGCTGTCTGAGGCGGTTGCAGTCCGCCTCTTCAGTGCTAATGAGACTGCCAGATAAGAACCATTGCCAGTGTGTGCTACCGTCTTCACCCGAATAGAACGCCCGGTCATTATAGCTGTAGTTTGCACAACTTTCAGCCCAGATACGGTGATAATTACTGGGCGTTCTACTCGGGTGAAGGCGGTAGCTAACTCGCAACCACGGGGCCCACTGGCATTGTGGAGGCCCTGCTCGTGCGCCCTGCCCATACCATCGCAGATCAACCAAAGCCAACTCTGACGGAGGAACCATGTCTGGGATCTCGTCCAGGGGGGGTCGCATCGGGACCCCAGTGGGCACCTGCACCCAATCATGAAAACTTGATAACGTAGTCTTTCCTGTGGGGGGGTTCCCCTTCCTCCCCTCCTGGCCATTCCACGTGTGCCATCCACCCCCTTTCCCCCTCCCCCCTCCCCGTTCCCTCCCCCCCCCAAGCCAGTCTGAGAAGAGTTGACAAATGTTGTTCCTGATGCCTGTTTTTTCTCCTGTGAGAGCTTGCCAATTTTTGCTTTTGTCTGTTTCCATTGTGCCAAGATCTCTGTTTGAATGAATTCTCTGATTGCTGCAGAGACCTCAGGTCCTTCCACCTCCACCTCTTCCAGGGTGCGTACACAGCGTTTCCACCACAGCGCCCAAAGGGCTGCCTACCTACCGATAGAAATAGGTTCATCGTGAAGTTCTCAGGTGAGGAGGGGGGTGCCAGGCCCCGAGAAGGATCGCCCTCCAATCCCCCATGGTCAGTCCACGTCTTCTAGCTGCCTCCAGATTCTGTCCCACCAGTGCCACGTGAGGACAGAGCCCAGGCATTGCAGAAAAACGTGTTCAACTGTCTCCGGAATCCTGCGGCTGGGAAAGTTTGCCTCACAGGATTTACACCATGGCAGGGGGAGGCCTTTTTGCTCCAGATGGGTAGCCATTTTCTCTTGGTTTGTTCGTTACCGAAATCGCCGATTTTGTCAAAAAAAAAAGTGGCGGAGGCTCACCAAGACTTCAGTTTCGTGGCGGTATCATCTCATTGACTTGGTTTTCCTTTGTGATGCTTTGCACAACTGAGGATATTCTGTGGGATATATACATCTCCATCATTTCAAATGTCCTTTGTGTCCGTCGTCCTAAAAGTAAGCAAGAAGAAGAGAAATGTTGGGGGGCTAAGCGAGAGGCGGTTAACAGAGGCCTCTCATTTTCCAGTCAAAAACGGCGCGAGCATGAGGGGAACGAACTGGCCGGTGGGCCCGGCGGTCTCGAGACCCAACGCCTCGGAGTTACCGAGGAAGACGGAAGGCGTTGACATCATCACCGGAGTTTGCAAGGAGGTCAGCCAGCGATGGGTCAACGGGGCTTGACTGACGTGGCAAATGAAGGAGTGGGCGAGATGATGACATCTCGGTCTCAACGTGGAGAAGGCGTCCTTGTGCAAGGATTAACACAAGTGGCGGGCCAGGAGGCGGCAGCTTCACCAGATGATCTGTGACACCAGGCAGACGTGTGGCTGTCTGAAATAGAAGATATACAACGGCGCATGCAGCAGATTGTTGGAGTCTTATCCTCCATTGTTCGGGCCTGGCCGGTGGCAGATTGGGGGGGTTCTGCCCCGACTGCATGGCTAAAAAACAAGTGTCAACAATTGGAAACCCTTCTCTGGCAGATCGAGGAGGATCCAGCACTAGAGCCTTTTGTTGATTGGCAGCGGGCTGAAACACTGATAATGAGCTGCAACTTGATTTTTGATCAGGGTGCAGACTTCTGAGCTGCACTCAAGGAGAGGTTGGAGACTGAAGCCTGGTGGGAGGCTGTCTCCAATCTTGTCACCATGTACTCAGGGAAGGGTGTGTTATCAACAATGATAACAACACCGCTCATCTATTCAGGAGAGGGTGCATCATCAACAATGATAACAACACCGACGACAACATCTTTGACTATAATAACGGAAGATGCTCTGGCGCTTATCGTGGGGATTTCACATGGCACAGAGGAGCTTGTGATAAGCTCAGATCCGTACTGCGCGGCTTTCCGTATCCTTGAGGACAAATCCCCCGAAAGCCCCGTACCACGGACCTGAATGAAAGGGGTTTTTCTTTCTTATTGCTTTTGTTTTCTTTTTTTTGAAACGGCTTTTTCACCTTTTTGGCTAATAACTCCCGCGCGGGCGAATAGCGGTCGCGGTATGAAAACCAAGAAACAGTTTCGGTTGGGACCTTTTTGAATTTTGGCGCGCGCGCACCTAAGCTCCGACTTCTTCGCGCGCCTCGCACCCCCGTTTCTTGCTTTGCATCCCCGCACCATCTTCCTTTCTTGCTGCGCGCCCCCTTCCATGCTGGACTCTTCGTCTCCCC